TATTTTTATTTTATGTGTATGAGTGTATTGCCTGCATGTATGTGAGCGCACCCGTGTCATGCAATGCTGTGGAGGTCAGAAGAGAGCTTTGGATTCCCCTGGAACTGGAGTTAAGGACAGTTCGTAGCCACCATGTGGGTGCTGGGAATTGAACCCCGGTCCTCTGCAAGAGTAGTCAGTTCTCTCAACCACTCAGCCATCTCTCCAGCCCTTATAATAGACATTTTATTGCCATAAAAATCATTAGACAATACATTTTGTATCTTTAGTTTGATTCAGTTATTTGATATGGTAAGACCAACATTCATAAACTAAAATCCTGTTTCTGTTCTCTTCCAGGAGTAGTCATTGATGATGATTTCAAACCTTTTTTTTTTTTCTTTCAGGCAGGATCTCATGTAGCCTAGTCTGGCCTTGAACTTAGTATGTAGCCAAGGATGACCTTGAACTTATGATTCTCCTGCCTCTATTTCCCAAGTTCTAGGATTATAGGGATATATCACCACATCCAGCTATTATATTGTTTTAATTTTGAAAGCAGTTTTATAGTTTTTAAAGTTCAGTGGCAGATTAATTGTACTGTGTGCATGAAGTAATTGGTTTGTTATTTTGTCTTTTTTTTTCTGGAGCTGAGGACCGAACCCATGGCCTTGCTCTTGCTAGGCAAGTGCTCTATCCCTGAGCTAAATCCCCAACCCCGGAGTCATTGGTTTGATGCCTAGAACCATAGAAATATAAAAATGGAAATTAAAAAGGATGTGTACTGTCTTTGTATATAATAGTAAACCATTGAGGGGGGTTGGTTTGGTGGTGGTGATAGTGGTAGTGGTGATAGTCTTTCTGTGGCACACACTGACCTCCTGCCTTAGTGCTGGGATTACAGATGTGTTCCACTATGTCTGATTTATTAATCCACTTTTTACTAAATGTGCTTCACCATCACCCTCAGGACATCATGGTGATGTTGGTGCTCCCATGGCAGATGTTATTCTCCCAGGGGCTGCTTACACAGAAAAATCTGCTACTTATGTCAATACTGAGGGCCGAGCTCAACAGACCAAAGTAGCAGTGACACCTCCTGGCTTGGCAAGAGAAGACTGGAAAATCATAAGAGCGCTCTCTGAGGTATTTTGGGGGAATTTCTTTGGAATCTTTTTTATTAATATTTAGCAGCTAATATAGCTCACTTGATAGAATGTCTGCTTAGCATGCATGAAGGCCTGAGTTCAATAAACCCCTATATATAATTTGTAGTGCTGGAGATGGAACCCTAGGGCCTCCCACATACTAGGCAAGAGCAATACCTCTGAGCTATATATCCCCATCCACAGACACATCTCTTTGTTGTTTGTTTGTTTTGGTATGGAGTTGTTTGTTTGAGAAAGGGTCTCATTATGTAGAACTGGCTGATGTGGAACTTACTTTGTATACTAGGCCAGCTTCAAACTCATAGAGTGCTGGAATTAAAGGCATATGCCACCTTGCCTAGCTTTGTGGAAGCATTTTTTTAGTGATACTGCTTAAGGCATACTGGATGTGTTAGCTTGTTAACAGTGATTTCCAAAATCAAGGATAATCTTTCTCTGAAATGCAGAGAGGATTTGTATAATCTCTGTTAGTATAGGGAGAAAATGTGTTCAGAAACAGGAATTAAACTTATTCTTTTTATTGTTGATTTAAGAAGTTAGAAGCATTTAGATTTGCTTAGCATTGTCTCTATAATACTAATTTTATAATGAATCCACCCTTCTTCACCCTTTTTTCCGGGAAGTGCTGGGGACTGAACTCAGGACCTTGTACTGGCTGAGCTCTACCACAGAGCTACACCCTTAACCTAGTGAGTTTACTTTCTACAGATAAATGGTTAATTTATTAACAGTTATTTGTGAATTAGAATTTTGACATCTGTGTTCTACACTTGATGCTTCCTTGATAAATCTGTCTGCTGAAAGATACCAGAGGATGTTAGATTTTCTACTAATACTGCAGTATTTCACCATAGTTGGCAATTATGCATTATTTGTTCCCATTTTTGGTGATGAGGATTAAACCTAGTACTGTGTACATCCTAAATGACAACCTGATTTTTCTTTCTTAATGTGTATGAATGTATTGCCTGCATGTGTGTAAGTGCATTCGTGTCATGCAGTGCCCATGGAAGTCAGAAAAAGGCATCAGATCCCCTTGAACTGGAGTTACAGACAGTTGTTAGCCACCATGTGGGTACACTGGGAATCAAACCCAGGTCCTCTGTAAGAACAGCTGGTGCTCTTAACCACTGAGCCATCTCTCCAGCCCCTACAACCTGACTTTTTAAAAATTACATTTGTTGCCAGGCGTGGTGGTGCACACCTTTAATCCCAGCACTCAGGAGGCAGAAGCAGGCGGATCTCTGTGAGTTCAAGGCCAGCCTCGTCCACATAATGAATTCCAGGACAGCCAGGGCTACAGGGAGACCCTGTCTTAAAAAAAGAGTAAAAAAACAAACAAACAAACAAAAAAATTTGTTTACTGTTTGGAGGAGGCTACACATGCCACAGTATGCTTGTAGAGGTCAAAGGAGAACCAATGGCTGACCATTCTCTCCCTGCAGCATGTGGGTCCAAGGGATTGAACTCAGATTGTCAGTCTTGATGGCAGGTACCTATGGCCCATCTTTCAAGCCCCCAACCCTGACATTTTAAAGTAATAAAACTAATATATTGGTGAATCTGGTCTGTTGCAGATAGCAGGTATTACTCTTCCATATGATACTCTGGATCAAGTGAGGAACCGTTTGGAAGAGGTCTCCCCTAATCTTGTTCGATATGATGATGTTGAAGGAGCTAATTACTTTCAACAAGCAAATGAGCTTGCCAAGGTAAAACCTTACCTATGTGCAGTTTTCCTAATGGTGAATGTACCAGCACAATAGCCCTAGTTTTCAATATGATTATTGGTTTCTTTTTTGCAGCTAGTGAACCAGCAACTTCTTGCTGACCCACTTGTTCCACCTCAGCTAACTATAAAAGACTTCTATATGACAGGTAAGTGACTATCAGCTTGACTTCCAAATATGCAAAGTAAGAGAATCAGAGAACCTCTAGTATTGCTCTTTTTAATCTGAAGATTGGCACTTGGTTTACATTTATGTGTGTGTGTGTGTGTGTGTGTGTGTGTGTGTGTGTGTGTATGTGTGTGTGTGTGTAAGTCAGAGGACAGCTTGTGGGAGTAAATGCTTGCCTTCATGTTGGCACCAGGGATGGCACTCCAGACATCAGGCTTGGTGACAAGTGCCTTTATCCATTGAACCATCTTGCTGGCCCCTAATCTGAAAACTTTTAAAAGTCAGAATTAGGGACTGGAGAGGTGGCAGTTAGAGCACTTGCTACTCAGAGAACTTGGATTCAGTTCCTTACACCCACATGGCATCTCACAATTGTGTATAACTCCAATTCCGGGGCATCTAATGCCCTCTTATGGCTCCACAGGTACCAGGCTCACACATGGTGCACATACAACCATACAGATAAACACACATACACATAAAATAAAAATGATTAAAAAATAAATTGGAACTAATGTAATTTGAGATGGCAGGACCAGGCTCAGACCCCATTTTGTGTGTGTATGTTTTGCTTTATTTTGTTTTTCTTTTCTTCTTTTGTGGTCTTTTTGAGACAGGGTCTCCCTGTAGCCCCAGCTGTCCTGGAACTCATTATGTAGACCACGCTGGTCTTGAACTCACAGTGATCCACCTGCCTCTGCCTCCTGAGTGCTGGGATTAAAGGCATGCACCACCATGCCCGGCCTTTTTTTTTTTTTTTTTAAACAGGGTCTTCCTGTAGCCCCAGGTGGCCTGGAACTCAGAGAGATCCACCTGCCTCTGCCTCCCAACTGCTGGGATTAAAGGCGAGTGACACCATGCCCAGCTAAACCTCACTTTAGTACATACTGGGCACAGGCACTGTACCCTTAGCTTGCTAGTCTTTTTTTGTGTGTATGTGAGACACGTTCTCCCTGTACCCCTGGCTGACCTTTGCCTCCCCAGTGCTGGGCTTAAAGGTGTGTGCCACCAGGCCCAGATGTCCTCTAGTATTTTTTTCTGAGATTTAAACAAAGTTCGAAAATCCAAAAGGATTAACAGATTTTAAATGTAAAATTTTACTATTATCTGCATAGTGAGTTCCAGGCCAGCTGGGGCTACAGGGAAACTGTCTCAAAACAAAAGAACCAAACAAAACAAAACTTTCACTATTATAAGGAAAATCACTGCAGAGGACCCAGGTTCAGTTCTCAGCACCTGCATGGTGGCTGACAACTGGCTATAACTCCAGTTCCGAGGAATCTAACTCCCTCTTCTGATCTCCATGGACATTGCACATACATAGTGCACTTACATACATGTAGACAAAACACTCATACACATAACATACAAATAAATTAATTGACTAAATTTTTTAAGGGATCTGGTAAAATATAACATAGTGAGTTGACACATGATTTGATACCCCTGCAGATTAACTAAAATTTATTTGGTTGCCATTGACAGGAACTCAACCTGAAGGGGGTTCCCAGACTATATCAAGATTGGTTTGTTTTGTTTTTGCTTTTTGTCTTTTTGAGACAGAGTGCCCCTGTAACCCCAGCTGGCCTGGAACTCGATATGTAGACCAGGCTGGCCTTGATTTCACAGAGATCCACTTTCCTCTGCCTCCTGCGTGCTGGGATTAAAGGTATATGCCACCATGCCCAGCAATTGTTTTGTTTTGTTTTTTTTCTGGGCATAATGGCACACCTGAAGTCCCAGCATGTAGGAGGTGGAGGCAAGAGGCCAGGAGTTCAAGACCATCCTCATCTACAAAGCAGGACCCTATCCTAAATAAGCAAAAAACGGGTGGGACTTTTTAAGCTGCAAATGGTGGTAGTAACATAGCGCCTCTGATTCCGGCATACAGATTGCTTAGGCAGGAAGATTGAAAAATTCAAAGCCTGGACTACATAGCAAGACCCAGTCTCCAAAAAAAATATCAAAAGAAGGGGCTAGAGAGATGGGTCAATGGTTAAGAGCATTTGCTGAGCTTATAGAGGACCCAGGTGGCAGCTAACAACCATCTGTAACTCCAGTTCCAGAGGAACTAATGCCCTTTTGTGGTGTTGTATACAAAGGTACACTTACATACATACAGGTAAAAGACTCATACATGTAAAATAAACATGAACTAAATTTTTTTTTTTTTTTGATCAAAAGAAGCTGGGAGTGGTGGCACATGCCTTCTTTAATCCCACTTGGGAGGCAAAGGCAAATGGATCTCTATGAATTCAAGGCCAGCTTGGTCTACATAGTGAGTTCCAGGCCAGTAAAGGGTACATAGTAAGACCCTGTCTCAAAAAAAATGAAAGCAGGGGCTGGAGAGATGGCTCAGCGGTTAAGAACACTGGTTGTTCTTGCAGAAGACCTGGGTTTGAATCCCAGCACCCACATGGCAGTTAACAGTGTCCGTAACTCCAGTCCCAGGGTATCTGACAGCCTCTTCTGTCCTCCGAGGGCATTGCACAGCATGGGTGCACTTACCTACATGCAGGCAATACATGCATACCCATAAAATAAACATAATAAATAAAATTTTTTTAAAAAAGAAAGAAAACAGGCATGGTGGCACATGCATGTAGGAGGCAGAGACAAGTGGATCTCTGGGAGATTGAGGCCAGCCTGGTCTACATAGTAATAATAACGATAATATTAAAAACAGTTAACCAGAGAGTCTCGGTGGTAAATACATGGTAGAGGCAGGAGGATCAGAAGTTCAAGGTCATCCTTGGCTACAGAGATAGCCTGAGGTACACAAGAGCCTGTCTCTCTCTCTCTTTTTTTTAACTTTTATTAATTTTTTAGGTTAGCATAAAAAGTAAAGATTTTCTTTATGGCATTTTTCACACATGTGTGTCATTAGATTTTGTTCTTTTTGCAATTTTTTATTGAAGTTTTGTGTATTTCATACAGAACATCTTAATCATCTTTATGCCCCCTTCCCCATTGGTAGCCCCCCCCACTTGAATTCATACATTCTGTCATTTATGTTAAAGCCTATCATGTCAAGTTAGTGTCCCCAGATGACAAGACCCTATGTTTAAAAAAAAGGGCTAATAAAGAATTTATGTTCAAAATTTATTGGTCACATATCAGTTATATTACAGCCTCACAGTCTTTTTAAAAATCTTTTTGTTCTTGACTATGTGCAACATTGAAATTTACTGTGCTTTCTAAAAGTTACATTAACAAAATCCTAGAGTAGTGGCTCCTATCTGTAATCTCAACACTCAGGAGTCTGAGGCATGAGGATTACCCATGTTTGAGACTAACCCAGTATACATAGTGAGTTTCCAGTCTTGCCTGGAACCTGAGACACTGTTTGAAAAACAACAAAAGAAGTTGTATTAACACAATGTGCATTTTCTTAATATCTTTCAGATTCAATTAGCAGAGCCTCACAGACAATGGCCAAGTGTGTCAAAGCTGTCACAGAGGGTGCTCAGGCCGTAGAGGAACCATCCATATGCTGAGACATCTACTAAGGACCCAGTTTTGCTACAAATAGTAAATGGACGTTGGAGTAATCGCTGACAAGTTTATGTTTTTTTTAAAAAAGAAAAAACCGAATGATGTAATATTTAAAGTTATACTATGCTTATTTGAAAATAGTAATGCACTTAATCAAAATTTTTGGCAGTTTTAAGTTTATGTATTGTGTGTAAACATTAAATAGTTTAATAAACTGTATACATTTGTTCCTCATGATAAAAACATTAATATTTGTAATAGATTCAAAGAAAATCTTCAAAATGTGAAATTTTTTGTTTATTTTCATAGATGATTTATGTTTGTAGAATGGATGAAATGAAAAGGCCTTTCAGGGCTGGGGATATAGCTGGAGAATGGTTGCCTAGCATGTGTGAGGCCTAGAGTTGAATCCCTGAAACTGCAGACAAAGTAAAAAAGTAAAGACCTTCTATTAAGTCACGCGCTTTGTGCTAAAGAAAAGAACTGGAGCCAGCAAAATGGCTCAGCGTTGCTACCTTGACTGGAATTTGATCCCCAGTGAGTCTACATGGTAGAAGGAAGGAACTGACTTCTGAAACTTGTCCTCTGACCTCTACAGGCACTCCATGGCAGTGCCCACAAACACACACACAAAAATAAATCTAAGAAAAAAAATGAGAAGTGTTAAAGCTGAGTATCACCATGGCAGTGCATGCGCGCGCGCGCACACACACACACACACACACACACACACACACACACACACACACAGATCTAAGAAAAAAAAAAATGAAAAGAGTCAAGGCTGCGTATGGTGACTCAAGCCTGTAATCCAAGCACTCAAGAAGGAGAGGCATTAAAATCACTGAGCTCAAATCCAGCCTGGGCTGTAGAGTAAGAGTCTCTAAAAGATTTAACTAAAAGATTTAACCTTTCTTTTAAGATAAGTGAATAGAAAAGAAGTAAAAATTTGTTTGTCTTTTTTGTTTTGTTTGCTTTTCTTGAAGTTCTGAGATTTGACCCCAGAGCCTGAACATACGGGCAAGTATTCTGCTGTGGAGCTACATCCTCAAGCCTGTTTGTTTTTTGAAAAACCCTTTTGTTTTGTAATCCTTTTTCTTTCTCCTTTCACTAAAACCCCAAATATAGGATACCATTTTTCTCATACAAGAAACAAGGTTTCTAGAGTTGTAGTTGTGTGCCAACTATACTTTAAAGCTTGTGTGGCACTGAGGGTGCAATTCAGTGATAGAGAATGTACTAGTGTGCATGAGGCCCTTTGTTCAGTTCCCTGCACACAAAATAATTGTTCAGAATCGGTCATCTTAACAGCTTTTTCAGAAATAGTTGTCTTGGGCTGGAGAGATGGCTCAGTGGTTAAGAGCGCTGACTGCTCTTGCAGAGGACTCGGGTTCAATTCCCAGCACCCACATGGCAGCTGTGAACCGTCCTTAACTCCAATTCCAGGGGAATCTGAAGCCCTCTTCTGACCTCTGTGCTCCTATGGGTGCACTCACATGCAGCCAATATACTTACGCACATAAAATAAAAATAATAAATAAAATATTTTTTAAAAAAAGGAAACAGTTGTCTTTAATGATACATCATGAAGTTGTTTACTTTGATTATCAAAGTACTTGTCTTAGGGCTGAGGGTAATAGAGCCTGTGTTCAGCATGTGTGAAGTCCTAGGCTCAAACCCTAGTACCAAAAATTTTGCTTAAAATTCCTAGTAATTTAAGTATTTGAACCCAATACAAATTTCCTATGTCTCAGGATTCTTGACCACTTGAAACTGCTGACCTCACGGGGACATTGCTCCCAGTTTTGCATTTCACACCGTACTCTTCAGGGAATGTTTATAGGCTTCATGGACATGGATACTCAATGGAAAACAGGTTAAGTTGATCAAGCATCCTAGGTACCACCAGCTAAATAACTTTTAATTCTCTAAAGAGTACACCCTCTGGGGTAAGTAGTGTCCAATGAAATGTGCTAGTTTTCGTGTAGACATAATCTGTTGCTAACCATCAAGGTTTTTGTGAATGTAAACACAAAAGTAGTTACTGGAGTTAAAGACTGACAAAAAGCCCCTAGAGAGAGGAAAGTACACAGGTTTGAATAACCTGCCTGTTGGAATCATGTTTTGAGCAGTGAGGGGCTCATCATTGTCAACATCTGTAAAGGCTCAAGGCTAAGTCCGTCTGGGTGAAGAAGACAGACTAGAGAGACCTTGGTTAATACCATTTTCTGGGGACTTTGTAAGTGTATGTCATTAAAGCTTTAGATGTATTACAACTAATTTTCATAAAAATCTAATGATAGATACTGAAACTTAAAAAATACCAAGTAACTTGCACATGGTTACAGACCTTAGAGGCTAATGGCTAGAGTGGAACCTTTGGAGTAGCAGTCCTGCTGTGATGCCCAAGCTTAGTAAGGTGTACTGAGTTTTACTTCTAAGAGCAAAAAATAAAATTTCCATCAGAAAATGGTCAAAGCTGCTGATGTGTATGCATGGGGATGAGTGGATTCATTTGCCATCATATACCTTTTGGTAATACAAACTTGAGCTCATAATCCTGCTTCAGCCTCCTGGGTAGCTGGGACTGCCACCACCACTGGCTACACTCATTTATTATTGGTGTTGCCAACTTGCTGAAGCATTTCTTGCAAAGTTAAACAGATCTTGTTTAACATTGGAAGTTACTTAGAAAAAACTTTAATTTCTTCATTTGTAAACTGAGAAAAAAATAGTAATGACTACTATCTCAGCCTCATGGTATTGTTAAGAAGGTTAAATCAGAAAGCTTATAAAAACCTTTGCCTATTTCTTGACAGAAACTTGCTTAGTAACTGAGGACCACATCAGACAAAAATACAGGGGCTGGAGAGATAGCTCAGCAGTTAACAGCACTGACTGCTCTTGCAGAAGACCCTGGCTCAAATCCCAGCACCTACATGGTAGCTAACAACCATCTGTAATTCCAGTTCCAGGAGATCTGACACCCTCTTCTGTCCTCAGGCATTGCGTGACTTGGGTGCACTTAAACACATGTAGGCAATACACTCATACGTATTAAAATTAAATACATTTGAATATATATATTAATATATATATATTCAAAATATTGCCAGTAGTTTTAGGAAGCCTATTGGTGAGCCCGATTCTCCGATTCTCAAACTGAAAGTCACCATCTAAGTATATCAGGGAAAAACTCAGTTCCTAGACTGAAAGTCGTGCCTTATATAACCTCCAGCTTATATTTTCCTGAAGAAATGCCTTTAATCTAGAGGCAGCCCAGCTCAGTCAACAAATGCTACTACCTCAAACCATCAGAGTTGCAAAAATGAATTTATTATGATGCAGAACATTCTGTTTATTTTTGTGGAATTTTTACCAGTTGCAGTAGTATGTACTAAGTGTTGCTTTTCTTTGAGACAGGATCTCTGTACCTAGGCTGGCCTCAAAGATGACCTTTGACTCCTCAAAAGATGACCACTTTTAAAATTTTTTTTTATTAAATTTATCTTTATTTAGTCAGGCGTGGTGGCGCACGCCTGTAATCCCAGCACTTGGGAGGCAGAGGCAGGTGGATCTCTGTGAGTTCAAGGCCAGCCTGGTCTATATAGTGAGTTCCAGGACAGCTGGGACTACAGGGAGACCCTGCTTCAAAAAGACAAAAAGAAAAAAAAAAAATTATCTTTATTTTATATGTATGAGTGTTTTGCCTGCATGTATGTAAAAGCGTACCCATGTCATGCAAAGCCCACAGAGGCCAGAAGAGAGCATCAGATCCCCTGGAAGGAGTTATAAATGGTTGTTACCTGCCATGTGGGTGCTGGGAATCGAACCTGTGTCCTTTCTTTCCTCCCTTCTGTAATTCCTTTTCTAATTCTGTGTGTGTGTGTATGTGTGTGTGTGTGTGTGTGTGCGTGTGTCTGAGTGAATGTAATATATGCATGCTGTGTGTGCTTGCAGAGGCCAGAGAAGAGCATCAGGTGCCACAGTCAATCATTCTCCACCATATTCCTTTGAGGCAGAGTCTCTCTCCAAATCAAGCTCAAGCTAGGCTGGCAGCCCGCAAGCCCCATTGATCCCCGTCTCTACCCCCACAGCACTGGGGTTACAGGCATTCAGGTCCTCATGGTTGCACAGCAAGCACTCTTAAACACTGAGCCAGCTGTCCAGCCCTAAGCTTTTAAATATAACTCAAGAACCTTGGCTTGAGAACATATCATTGTGTTTGTTTTGATTTTTTGAGACAAGGTCTTGCTTTGTAGCCAAAGCTGGCCTCACTGTAATCTTCCTGCCTTTGCCTCCCAAATGCTAAAATTACAGGCATGCACCACCACAGGTGGCTCAAGTCAAAGGCTTTTATAGGAGGAAATGATTCTCTGTTAGGTTGCTTATAGATTGTGTATTCTGGGTTGCTATAGGTAAGCATGAGCTCCAAATGAGGTAACACTCCTCAAAGAAGATAGTTGGCACTTCAGTTTGTATACAGAGTGAAGCCCCAACCAGGTTGATAGCCTCTTCTGTTCCATTTCCGCTTTCCTAGATTTACTGCTTTGTGTGTGTATGCACGTGTGCGCACACAGGACCATCAGGTCCAGCTTTTTTATGTGGGTTCTAGGGATTGAATTGAAGGTTCTCATACTCACTTATTAACTTAGATAACTGCCAAAGCAAGAAACCTCCCTGCCAAAAGATGGAATGTTATATTAGCATTGTAATACACATTTTGTGACTATTAAGAAGAGCCAGCCAGGCATGGTGGCACATGCCTTTAATCCCAGCACTCGGAAGGCAGAGGCAGGTGGATATCTATGAATTCAAGGCCAGCCTGGTCTATATAGTTCCAGGCCAGCTGGGACTACAATTGAGACTATTGAGATCTTTTAAATGTGTCTAAGACCTTAGGATTTGTCCTATAATCCTACTGGTGGGGTGAACTTGCCCCATTGTTAATGAACAGAAGCATCTACCTTGCTGCTGGGGACATTCTAGGATAGTGTTGAAATCTAAAAAGAACAGTTAGACATGACTTAATTTCCTTAATCTGGTTCCTTGCCAAGAATAAAAGCTCCTTCCTCTCCCTCCCCCCCAAAAAAATATATAGCACAGCTGGAGAGGGGCAGGGGGCTGAATCAGGAGCATCATAAATTCCAAGCTAGGATGAATGACATAGTTTTAAAAAAGAAGCATGGGCTTGTGAAATGGCATTGGGTAAAGGCTCTTGCCACCAAGCCTGACAACATGAGTTCAGTCTCCAGGACTCACATGGTGGAAAGAGAGAACCAACTCCTGCAAGTTGTCCTCTGACCCCCACATGCATGCTGAGGCACTTGTGTGCACCCCCCCATACTCCAATAAATGCTAATTTTAAAAATAGCCTTTTTTATTCTTTCAGTACTGGAATCAAATTGGTGTTTATCTGAGGTATATCATTTCATGGATAAAGCTAGATAGTAATAGGACAAGCCTCTTCCTGTAGCTTTCCAAGCTACAATTTCCATAAAGCAGAAAGTGTAAGTTTTTTGTTTGCTTAGCAAGAACTTCACAGCCACACCTCTTCATGGGATGGGGCTTGTTTGCCTCTGCAAACCTAGAGGGAATGGTCTAGGGCTAAGTATCCCCTGGCAGCACTACTCCCTTGGGAAGTGGGTTTATTCCTCCATAGCTCCCTGTGTCCTCTGTGACCTGTGCCCTCTCCTGGTTGGTTCTTCACTGTCGGCTAAGTATGGGTCCATCTCTTTTCAAAGCTTTGCTCCTTAAGGTGGAATGGGC